CTTCCCAATAATGTAGATAGTCGAGGAGTCGACCCTCAACTGTTAGAGCATATTCTTCAACAGTAAGTCAACTGCATTTCGAGGTGAGGAATTTATATGCTATGTTTTACATTCTTTATGATCGCTTATATTATGGTTGAGATATATTGCTTATTTAGTTTTTATTCTATGAAGTCTTCCGACTTGTGGGCAACCATTTGTCGGGAGCGCGAGGTTATCTATTAAGTCTTTCGACTTGTGGGCAACCATTTGTCGGGAGCGTGAGGCTATGTAAAAACGAGGCAATACGAGGTTAAAATTATTCATGTCGCATGTTGATGTCATCTTATATGTTATTATACTGAATGTCTACGTAGAAATTTTTCCCCATTGAGTAAGTGGAAATGCTCATCCCAATTTGTTTTCCACACCCAGGTTGTTCGAGTTGGCAATGGAGCGATGGTGAGGGTGGTCAAAATCAACGGAATTCCGCATTTCATGTTATGCGTTATTTTTTTTTTAGAAAAGTTCTAGATATTTGAAGAATTTCTCATGTTCTGTTTGAGACTTAATATGAGTATGTTTTATGAACAAGTTATTGGTGCAAGGTTTGATGTTCTATTATGAAATGACGAGAATGATGAGACGAGGTATAAGTTAAGCTAATTTTTTCAAAGCAAGGATTCCTAGTGTTTCACGAAAGAAAAATTTATTCGAGGAATTTAAAGTATAAAAAGAGGTGTGTTACACACCTCGCCGTGGATTCGATCAACTGATCAATCCTCGGTTGTAGATATAGGTCCTTCGGGCACGCTTTTTTCAAATCCCTGAAATTTTATGCACATCCTTCGCTTGCTTTTAGACTTGGACACCATCACCATATTCGACAACCACTCAGAGAACTGGATTTCGACCACATGCCCCGCCCTAAGTAGCTTGTCGACCTTCTGCTCAATGACCTTATCCATTTTTGCTCCATGGTGCCTCCTCTTTTGGCACACAGTTCGAACACTGAGATTGATATTCGATTTGTGCCCAATAATTATCGCATCAATTTCAGTGAGCTTTTTCGTTGTATAGGCAAAGATATCAGCAAACTCTCTGATCAGCCTTATGAGCCTCGACCTCAATGGCTCTCCCAAGTTCTTCTCAATTCTAAAATTTCTCTCATTACAACCTTCGACCATTTGTATCTCCTCAATTTCTCCTCTCGGCTGGATGTCCACCTTCTCCTTACCCTTATTGAGTCTGGGCCTCTCTTCCTTCGACAAAGAACCATTTGGTCGATCGACCATCCCCTTCTTTGGCAAAACAACTCTCCTTGCATTACTCTTGTTCACGCTAACTGTTGTTTGATAGCATGACATCGATGTGAGCTGGTCCCCAACAATCTCTCCCACATTCTCACCAACTGGATATTTAATCACCATGTGGTATGTCGAAACCACCGCCTGGAAAGCATTCAAGTTGGTTCTTTCGAAAATAATGTTGTATGACGATTCAACACCGACCACAACGAACCTTACCATTCTAACTTTTCTCGTCGCTCTCGACCCCAGAGCGACTAGTATAGTAATATCCCCCATCCGGACCACCTCACTCCCACTAAACCCATACAAGGAAGTAACGACCTCCTTCAATTCCAGATTCAAGTCGAGCTGCCTGAAGCAATCGTAGAACATCACATCGACCGAGCTACCTGTGTCAATAAAGACTCTTTTCACGCCATACCCTGCCACTTCAGCTGTTATGATAAATGCATCATTGTGGGGGCACGAGAACCCCTTCCGCATCTTCAGCCCAAAAGCTGTCACAGGCATTCGAGTCGTAATTTCAACCTTCTCTCTTTTCTTTTTAGTCGCTCGAACATGTTCCTTCCTAGCATTATTAGAGTCACCATCAGTCGATCCTCCATGAATCATATTAGTGCCCCTCTTAACCGGGACCACGTCCTCCTGGCTCTCTCGACCTCCGTCCTCTTGTCTCCATTTATTTTCTTCCCCAAGTCGACCTTTTCGACCACCTCGCCTTTCTTCCCCCTCATTATCTTTGTTATCTCTATCACTCCTTTCAATAGAATCCTCTCTACACCTTATATTTTCCTTTCTCTTAATTCTATCATGATACACGAACTCCTTCAAGTGTCCAGTCTGATCAAGCGTTCGATCTCATCCTTTAAATGTCTAATTTTTCGTGGCATGACCATAATCCTTGTGAAATCTGCAATACCGACCTAATTTGTGTTGAGCCTCCTTGGTTCCATGACCTCGGCCAAGTGACGTCTCGACCATCCAATTTCTTCTCGATCGTTTCGAACGCCTCCTTCATTTGTGTCCTCAACGGAGTGTATTTGGTATACCTTTTCCCAAGCAAAAGTGGTCGATCCTTCCATCGATATTCTCCTCGACCACCTTCCAACCCACCTTGCTTGTCGCATCGAGGCGAGTCAGCCCTTTCCTTCTTTGACTCAGGTCGAGCCAAATGTTCCAGTTTAGCAAACTCCTCCTCCGTTTCCTCCAAGTTGACATACCTTTTACACCTCTTAAGGACCTCATCATACATTCGAGCTAGTGTCTTGGCCAATGAATTTCGACAAAAGGCCCAACCCGCAGACTCCTTATTGGACCGCCAGTCTTGACCTCGTCTGAGGCCTACGGAATCTCCACGCAAGCTTGATTGTATCGAGAAACATACTTCCTCAATGATACTCTTTCTTCTTAATTCATTGCCATCAGAGTAAGGTAAGTCTTATTCTGAGCTACAACACTCGCATATTGGTTCAACAACATCTCTGAAAATTCCTCAAAATCCTTCACCGACCCTGGGAGGAGCTGATGAAACGAATCCAATGCCCCTCCTCTCAAGGTCGAGAGGAACTCCCTACAGCTCACCGGGTCAAAGTATCCGTGCAACACTGCCATATTCTCGAATGACCTCACATGCCTTGATGGGTCAGTCGACCCATCATACATCAAACTCATCTCCCGAAATTGTTTGGTTATACTGCCTCCAAATCTCTCTTTAGAAGGGATGTCCTCGAGCTTGATCCACCGATCTACTATCCACTTTGGCTTGCAACAGGCGTAACGGCTCTGCCACCCTCTCCAGAGCTCGTTCTCTCTGAGGTTCATCTTAACTATAATTCAACTCATCTTCCTCAGTGTTTTGGTGATGTGAACCCACCATTGTAGTTGGCGCAGTAGTGGCGTGCGAAGCATGGTGAGTGGTCTGCTGTATCGCCCCCGCTGCGACCGCGTTAGCGATCATCCTCTCCATCTCCTCTCTGGTCATTATCACCAACTGTTGACCAGCCTGCTCCACATCCGTCCTTGGTGGTCCCATCACCTACACCACAACGACTCCTAGTTGCGCATAGGTCAGATCTAGTTGCTGCGCTGGAACCACTACCTCTGGAGGTGCTCGAGACTCCTGCACACGACTCGGACCCACCACAGCTACGGGGACTGCCGATGAGCCCCCTAAGCCCTGAGTAGGAGGCATCGGGGTCATCAGAGTCTGAGAAGCCCTGGAGAAGCCCGACGGAGGGCCATCTTCGAATGGTTGCATGGTCGTCCACACGTCATCGAAAGTTGTCTCTAAATTCTTCTTGGGATTTCGACCGCCATGACTATGGTGAACACAAGCTTTTCAAACAAAAGTCCCACATACGGTGCCAAGTGGTATCAAATGACCTCTAATTGGCTGGTAAAGGCTGTAAGCGTCTGTATCTTGAGCTAACCACCGGTTGAATGTCCTCGAACCTGCAGAATTCTCACACCGAAGGGGATCTCCAGTTTAGAGACTCCGATGCTTAAATGAGTAAGTGAAGAAGATGAAGTACAAAGAGTGGTCTTTGTAACATAATATGCAATAGAGAATGTAATGTAGCTTAGGGCATACCTCACTCCCTTTTATAGGGAGATGATACTTTATTGTTCAAGATGGATGCATGAGCAGCCCCGTTCAGAGGCACGCGAGCTAATCTGACTGCCTGTTCGTACTATTCTAGTTGCCTAGACTGCCAGATGCCCAATTCTGTTAGGCCACGTGGTCATCTCCACGTGGGGGTTTGATTCCTTGAATATTCATTCTTATCCTTTAGTCTTCTTCATTATACGGTCTAACCGTGCACTTGACCTCTATTACCTCGAGGTGGGGTATCACCAACAGTGAGCCCTGCTGTCATGCTCATCTAGTCGATCCTTTGACCAGGTGTTCTTTCGAGTTGGGCTCCCCACATGCCCTCATAGTGCCTCTATTCGACCTGTTAGTGTCACTTGCTTCACCGGTGCCTTCTTCGACCTGAGGGTCTTTCGACCCAAGGAGTCTCCATTCTTCGCTCGACCTGATGGCCAGTCCGGTTCAGTTCGGCTGTCTCTCCGGTCTAGTCGACCTGGTGTAGTTATACTANCAAAAGGTCGAGCTATGGCCCTTGAACGACTTTGTAGAAACTCGACCGAAAGGTATGACCATCGATGGATCGACCTGAGGGACAATGTACGAGCTTAGCATAGAAGGCAATCTACCTCAAGATGAATTGGGTCAATCAAACGATTAGACCATCTAATAAGGTAGGCTAAGAAAGAATATAATTAGGGTTAAGAGCTACACGTGGATTGGACCATGTGACCTAACAAAAATGGGATGGTCAGGCACTCGAACATTAAAAACGGCAGTTTGGGCACTCGGACAACGCATCCGGGCAATATTGGGCAACAAGGTAATACCCCTCTATAAAGTATGAAGGTATATCTATTTACACTTTATACACTCTATATAAGTGTAGTTTTATACACTATTCATCGTCTTCTTCATTTATGAACTGATTTGATCTCGGAGTAGTGTATCCCTCCTGACCTATTTTGCAAGTTTTTGAATCGGTCAAGATCTAGATCTAGGTCGTGCAAACTCGATGTCTATTTACACACTAATGTCCAAGCACACCAATACTTTATTATTTCTTTATTAAGAACGTCTTTTTAATTTTAATATTTTTTATTTATTTACTTAATAAAAAAAAACAACCACAAAGTATTAGTGGAAGGACCCCTGAAAAATGAAATTGACCCGAGGGTTATCGGTATAGGCCTATGAGCTGGGCTCTTTCCACCCTCATTCTCCCGTTGTTGATTCCAATCCTACAATCGTCTCCGCATTATCAAGGGAAATAAAAAGAAGTAAAAATGGCAGCTGCTTTTGGTGCTGGATTGGTGCTGCTCCTCCTAGTGGGGAGGCTAACTTGCGCCGAATCCGTTAGGGTTTCGAAGCCTCCGGCTATCTGTCCGTTAAATTCTGTCCAAGACGCCATCTTTCCTTCGCAGAACGACGTTTGTTCCGTCTTCGGGACAATGTCTGACTACACCGCCGGTGTAATTGAGGTATACGATGAAGTTCCTTTTGATTTGCGTTTGATTTGTTTATTTTTTTCGTTTAAGATTGTTTTCTCTTTCTTCGTTTTTTTTTTTCCTTCAAAATTTATGTGGTGAATTAAATGATATTGCTTTGAATCGGTCTTTCTTTCATTTTTATTGTTTGTCTGGGTTGGGGGATTGGTTGGAGGCGCTGGTTTTGGTTTAATTTTAAGTTTAAAAGGTGTTTGCCTACAAAATTATTTGATTTGTGGAAAAGGGTATTACTCATATATTATGAAAGGGTGAATCTCAATGCTCAGTTATATGCTTTAAAAAGTGAGAATTTCTTTGGCCAACTTATATCAGCTCTTGAGATTTGTATGAACCCTATGGAAACTAGTTTGCGTAATATTGGATGTGTAATACTTTCAAATGAAGTGTTAAAATCAATTTAAACGTTTAGAAGGTGTCAAGTTAAGTTTCAGAGTTGTTGTGCTGATTTATTACTAAAAGTCCACTTCTTGGGGGTGTCTTTATGATTCATGATGTTCAGGGCTTAACAAGGTGGTTTGGCCAAAAAAAGATAAAAGAAAAAAAAAGATAAAAACAAGAAAAAGAGAGAACAATTTGAGTATCCTTTCAGAATTTGGTGATTAGAGTTCTTTATCTGCAGTGTGAACTGGATAATATAACTTTGATGTGAAAAGTTGAAAAAGAAATCGCATTTGTTTCCGTGTGTTTGGAAGGGAAGATTATCTTGGCTAATTTGTTTGCTTACCCTTTTGGACTTTGTTGCTGGAAATCAGTTTCATAATGAATTTCAGAACCCCCTGTCCTCACATCTGCTAAGCGACATGTCGTATATTATAAATTCTGGTTGTCTCTGGGTATTCTACTCTGCTCCTTACCTCGAGACATGTGTGGATGATTCGTTAAATATGTTATCCTGTAATTGATTACCTGTGAATTATTCTACTGGTAAATGCTCTCTTTCTTCGGAATATTTTATTCAGGTTTTTATGATATTTGTGCAATCCCTTGTGCTTTAGAAATGAACTTCAGAGGTCGAATAATGATATGTAAATTGAACTGTAGATAGAAGAGAATATAAATAGGTGTGACGTTGTGCGAATGCAGCCAGATAATTGGTCTTGTCACCAATTGTGAGTATGATGATTTATGTTATTCTAGAACATTTAATAGAATTGACAATTGTATTTTATGTGCTTGAACTGTGGGAATGCCTTTAATCTTGTTGAGTTAAACCGGAATTCCAGCATTTCGACTGTGGTCTTTAAGACATGATAATGAGAAACTTTTGATTGTGAAGGGAGATGAAGTATCATTGCAGAAGGCGCTGGACATTGTTCACAAAAACAAACACGATTATGTTTCCCTACTCTTCTATTCATCTTGGTGTCCTTTCTCTGGATCTTTTAGACCAAGCTTCTCCTTGCTGTCCTCAATCTTTCCTTCCATTCCTCATTTTGCAATTGAAGAATCTTCTGTGAGGCCAAGGTTTGAATCTCGTTCGTTACCTCCTATTATCATGCTTCGTTTACATGAGTACATTGCCAACTGAAAATTGACATTGATGTGCTTTTATTTTCTTTTTCTTTCTGAAAAACGTAATTGATAATTAGCATTCTGTCAAAGTATGGAGTTCATGGGTTTCCTACTTTGGTTCTTCTAAATTCCACCATGCGCATGCGGTATCAAGGTTCTCGCACTCTGGATTCCCTCATTTCCTTTTATGATGCCGTGACTGGTAAGCTCATATGTGCTAAACATGTTCAGTTTGTGTAACAGATGAACTAATTGTCGGATTGTTTTGAGATATTTTCACCATAAAGTCAACAATCTGAGTTTCTTTAGCATGCTGTTTTTTTTTTGTTCGGCGATGACTTTCTGTTGATTCGAAATGTTCTTGTTTGGGTTTTTTATTGTTTGTCACTAGTTTCAGTTTATCAATTGATCCTTTCCTTTGCTATTGCAATTATTCTCGTTTGAAAATCAATTCTATTGACCCCATTAGCATGCTGTCATTTTAGTTATAGCAATGATTTTGTGTTTGATTCAGAATGTTTTAGATTTTTATGGTCACTTCCTTTTTCAGCTTGACCAATTGATCCTTTTTTTTCTTTGTTCTCATGATTCTTCTGGAAACCAATACGACTAACCCCAAGAATATGAGAAAATATTATCTTAACGCAATGCTATATTTATGAAGAGCATCCATTGCATAAGTTCTTATTGACGATTCTCGACATAAAAAATCTTTTACTTGTTTTTTTTAAGGCATAAAGATGTCAGCTGATGGAGAATCAATTGGCAAGATCGTATGTTCAGGAAATGACGAAAAACACGACAATAACCTTGAAACCTGCCCTTTTCCATGGGCTAGGTCACCCGAGAATTTGTTCAAGCAAGAAACTTATTTGACCCTCGCAACACTTTTCGTGATTTTGAGGTTGCTTCACTTTTTCTTCCCCACATTGAGAAGATGGGCTCAATTGGCTTGGAGAAGGTACACCATGAATGTGAGTGTGAATAGTTTGTGGGAGCTTAATCAAGTCATGCAATTTTTCAGTTTTCTCAAGCAGCCATGCAAACAAAGCAATTTGCGGGAAGGAGCCGAAAATGCCAAAGCTTGGGCATCTAAATCACTTGCCACCGTTTCATTTGGAGATTCTTCTTCAAATCGTGATGCCTGAGTAAGCTTGAAACTAATCGTAATTATGCGAAATTCTATTATCTCTCTCTCTTTCCTTAATTTTTGCATTCTCATGGTTGGTAGCAGCTGTTTGAAAGTACATATGAAATATCTTGTGGTGACAGTGTTTGGAGCTGTACTTGCCTGTATTTGGGTGGTGTCTTAAGATTGTGACTCGTGTAGCAATGTGATTGATTAGTCGTTAAAGACGCCTGCCATTCCTGTACAGGCTTTCCCCATATGGTGTAAGCACTTATTTTTTTGTCGAATTCTTTAGCTGAGGTGATAATGTGGTGGAATTCAATATTCACTGTTTGTTTAGATTAGAATTTGTCTACCATTTGCACAAAATAAAAATTAAGAAATGACATGCCCTTCAGATTTGTAATTAGCTTCTAATAGACCCATTTACTTACTGAATCTTTTAGTTTTCCTTGATATAGCTCTTCCTTTCTCAGTTTTACCCACCATTGTTTTTTTTCAATTTTTACTTGAAATGTATATACTCATGTAGGAATCATCACATGAACTACCCCCGAGGTTTGAAGTATTTAATTATGGAAGAAAAACTTCAGTATTTGAAAATTATAAAACTACAAGGGGTTCCTGTTCATTTGAAACATATTTTGTTTCGTAAATACCTAGAACCTTGGAGGTAGTTTTGTGGTTATCTCCTGTTGATTGAAACAAATAGGAAAAATTTTAATTTTGGTACTCTATAACCTTGCACACTTTTTGCTTATGGTGTTTCTACTATCAACTTAATAAACTTGATACTATAGTTTTTGTTGTAAAGTATTTACCCTTGGTTGGTAGAAGATTTAGCTATTGAATTTTTGCGGGAAAAGAAAATATCAAATCTAAAAACGTATGTCTTTTGAATGGTACATCATGATTGTCAAGTAGAATTCTAGTTATGTTTTTTACGGGAAAAGAAAAAATCAAATCTAAAAACGTATGTCTTTTGAATGGTACCTCATGATTGTCAATTAGAATTCTAGTTATGTAACATAGCAATATGATGAGAGTTTTTGTAGGCGAATCAACTTTGTAAACCTTGTAGGAAATTTTTAAAAATCCAATCTTCCATCAATTTTCGTGATGTAAAATTCGGATTCTTTGTAAACTGTAGTTNAGCCGAGGGCTAATGCCAGGGAAGCTACGCAAAAGCTCGTGTAGCCTAAAAAAACAAAAACAAAAGTCTATCCATAACCAGAGGCAATAAATCCATTGCACCCCCCAGTTAAAACAAGAATTGCACAGAAAAATTAAAAAAAAAATTAAAACCCAAGCAGAAAAAAGCATAACTACCACTCCACTATACTACTCAAAAAGTAGACCTAGCTTGGTTTTCATGATCTCCTCTGCTCGTTATCAGCTGCACATTCCCCATCTCTTGCCACTCTCCTATAGCTGCTTTGAGAATTCCCATTTCCGTTCTCCAAACATCTTCAAACATCCATAAATTTCTGGATTTCCAAAGCCACCATAGAATGTAGGTAGTCAATTCTATTCTGGCTTCAGAAACCTCTGAATCATCCACACTGCATATCATTCCCCACCAATCTACAAACTGAGTTGAATCCCCCTGGTCATAATTCCAATTGAGAGGAGCATGTTTCCATACTCTTTTAGCTCTGTCACATTTAAGAAAAACATGCTCAATTGTTTCCTCCTCCTTCCCACAGCCTTTGCACACCACATCAATGAGAATTCCCTTCCTCTTTATATTTACATTAACAGGTAAAAGCCCCGAGAAGCATTTCCAAATAAAGTGCTTGATTTTACCTTTAACTCTAAGCTTCCAGCTCCTCATCCTCACCATTTTGTTCCTATCAGCAGTGGTGCTCCCTTCTGGCAGATCAAGTGCCAGCAGTTTCTTCTTACTCAGATATCTATATGATGAAGCTACTGAAAATTTCCCATTACTGTTAAAACACCATCTCCACTTGTCTTCTAAATCCGGGTTTAAAGTTTGAATCCGCAGAATAGCTTCACCATCCTCAACTTCAAACATCTCTGTCACTTTCTGCTCATTCCACTGTCTGCCATTGGCACTGATCAATTCAGATATCCATAGATCCTGATTTTTGAATTGAGTTTTCAGCTTTGGTCCTCTCATAATCATCCCAGGCACCCAATTGTGGTCTTGCACCCTAAGTGGCTGTCCATTTCTCACCTCCACTTGCAGACCTTGTTGCAAAAGGCCCTTCACTTTCCACCATGACCTCCATAACCAAGATGAATTCTGCTTCAACACAGAGTCAAAAAGTGAACATTTGGGAAAATATCTGCTTTTCAAAATTTTACTCATCAGCAAATTAGGATACTTGATCACTCTCCATAGTTGTTTGACCAAAAGTGCCTCATTGAAAATGCTAATGTCTTTAAAGCCCAAACCTCCATGCCCTTTGTCAATGGTTAGCAACTTCCAGCTTCTCCAATGAATACCTGGATCATGTTCCCTCCCCTTACTCCACCAAAATGAGGCAAATATTTTTGCTATATCTTTGCAGATCCCCTCTGGTAGCTTGAAGCAGCTCATCACAAAGATAGGTAGAGCACTGAGTACTGAGTTTATCAAGACTTCTTTGCCTGCTGTAGATAAGAACTTATTCTTCCAGCTTGTTACTCTTTTATGAACTTATTCTTTTATGAATTGTGGTGGGACTTGAAATATCAATTATTAAAACACTTAAATTTAGGGTACTGAGCATGAAATATCTCAAAACAATAATATCGTATTTAATCATATTTGTTATAATAGTGTGCACCGTTATAATAATGTGCATGAGGTGCACGAGATGATTAAATATATATATGTGAATGACTATTTTGTCCCTGAATTGTATTATTATGATTGTGTCATCAGAAGTTTTCCTATAAATAGGAGCTTCAGTTATAATAAAAATCGTACCTAAGAGAATACATTTTCTCTATTATCTCTTTCTCTATAGTTTTATAACACGTTATCAGCACGAGCGTTCTACCTGGTCAGAAAGGTAAGAATATAACAGTATATATATGTATATGTATTACATAAAAGTAAGTATATTTTACTAATTTACATATTACCATTATTCTTGACAAGTTAGGCTCTGCCACAGTCAAGAATATGTGGTATGAATATACTAGATATGACATCATTACCATTATTCTTGACAAGTTAGGCTCTGCCACAGTCAAGAATATGTGGTATGAATATACTAAATATGACATTATTTACACATTACCATTATTATTGACAAGTCAGGCTATGCCATAGTCAATAATATGTGGTAAGATGATATTATTAAATATGCTTATGAATTACTACTAATTATGACAAATAACTTCAAGTTACAATAAATAATATTATTAATTATACTTAACACCCACAAACTGGTTTACCCAGTAATGTGGCGTGAGATTTATAACTGCTTATTCTTGTACACACCGAAAGATTTATCGAGTAGTGTGGAGTGACATTTTTATTTGTTTTGCTACTTATATTCATTAAATTGTTCACATAATGACTAGAAGAATTTTTAAGGTAATATACATGATTAATTAGAATTTTATAATCATGAATAATTAACTAACAAATATTATATCATTAATTTGTTTCCAACGGCTACTTAACGGCTATATTGCAACGGTTATTTATCAATCTATATATATAACACTACACTTCATATATTAACACTCATTCCAAATACTAATATATATTCTCCTCAAACGAAAAAAAAAATGTTTCATCTACTATTTATAATTACCAGTATATTGTTTATTATATACGCTTTGGGAATTTTCACAATGATGTATCATACTCCTGAATTTATATTTTATGTATTAGGTCTTTGTATAATGAGTTTATTATTTGCTCTTCTGTACATTTTTGAGAATTAATGATTGTATATGTAATTTTTCGAATCTAAGCATTGATGTTTTATTTTATAGTTATCATGGCAAATCTGGTCAAACTCGAATTTGAAGCTCTTGATATATCTGGAAAAAATTATATTTCATGGACATTGGATGCCGAAATTCATTTGGCTGCAAGGGGTTGGGAGAAACAATAATCTCCCCAAATAATTCATTAATACAAGATAAAGCTAAAGCAATGATATTTCTGAGACATCATTTGAATGAGGCATTGAAAAATGAATATTTAACTGTGAAAGATCCTGCAGATCTCTGGAAAGCCTTGAAAGAAAGGTATGATCACCAGAAAACGGTGATTCTCCCCCGGGCTCGTTATGATTGGATGCACTTACGCTTCCAAGATTTCAAAACTATAAACGAGTACAATTCAGCAATGTTCCGCATTTGCTCGGTGTTGAAATTATGCGGGGAAAACATAACTGATTACGATATGCTGGAAAAAACGTTGTCTACATTCCACGCTTCAAATGTACTTTTGCAGCAACAATACAGAGCAAAAGGCTTTGTGAAATACTCTGAATTAATTTCTTGTTTGTTGCTAGCTGAACAAAATAATGAGCTGTTGATGAAAAACCATGAATCTAGACCTACGGGATCTACTGCGGTCCCTGAAATAAATAATGTAATATCTAGACAGGGAACTGAAAATAAAAACAGCCAAACACATGAGCGTGGATATACTTCAGGACGTGGCCGTGGATATGGTCCGAATCTCCAAACCGGCCGAGGCCACAAATTTCACCGAGGGTATAACTCGGGCCGAGGATACAATCGTGGACGAGGCCGCAACTATGTCAAAAATTATGAAAGGGGGAGAAATTTCCGGCCAAAATTTGAACAGAACAATGTGACGGAGAATAATAATGAAAATGCATGTTATCGATGTGGAAGGAAGGGACATTGGGCACGAAATTGTCGTGCTCCGAGACACGTTGTTGATAATTATAACGATTCCCAAAAATAAAAAGATAAGAATATAGAAACTAATTTTATGGTTGGGGAATCTTCTGAAAATGATGCAACACGTGTGGATGATGACTATGGCATCGATGACATATTGAAACTGGATTTTGCCGATGCAGTTTTTGAAGACAGAGATGGAAATGACCAAGAGAATAACTGATGATCATGTTTCTATTGCTTTCTAAGTTTTGTTGTATTTGTGTGGACTACTTTTATATGTATTTTGAATTTAATCAATAATAAATGTTGTTTTCTTTTAGATAATGGATCAGTCTCGAATCCAAAATGGAGATATATGTATTGCAGATTGTGCCACTACTCATACTATACTCAAGGACAGAAAGTATTTCATCAACTTGATATTAAATAAAGCAAAAGTAAACACCATATCCGGAAGTGCAAAGATAATTGAGGGTTCTAGCAAGGCCATATTTTTTATGATGGGAGGTACAAAATTTACAGTGAATGATGCATTATTCTCCCCTAAATCAACAAGAAACTTGTTGAGTTTTAAAGATATCCGAATGAACGGAACGTTGAAACCATGAATA